AGAGAGAGAGAGAGAGAGAGAGAGAGAGAGAGAAAAACCACCATTGAAATTTGATGATGAACACAATGCAATCAACGTTACACTACGTTTTACCGAGATAAACCGAACCATTAACAAACATTTCAAACAAACTCACAATTAGTTCGAATGCTTAAGGACGAAAAAGTGGTGATTTTTATTATATTATAAATGTAAATAAAAAAAATGTATTTTAAAACACCCAAGTCCCACATATGATCAGCGATTCAATGGTGTATTGCGCATTCGCATACAATAAAAACCACATTTGGTTTCTTTTATCCGAACAATGGCAAAAATCAATCAATTTTCTTTAATTTCATTTGTGTACTCCACTCTTCTGGTAGGTATTTCGTAAAAAACTGCAATATTTGCTCTTGTTCCACATTTTGACACTTGCTTATACTTGATACAGCTCATGACTAATTTACCGGTGCGCTAATCATAAATTATGCCACCAAATTTACAAAACATTTATTGAATTATTGCTGATGACTACCCAGCAAACAATTGATAGGGCAAATGCATCCATTATGAAGCACATATTGACGGTCGTTTTCGGGGTTAGATTCGTGTGTAGTTTCAGTCATTTCCATAGGTTTGGCATGGTGGAACATTCAGGTGTGAAAACATGGAAAAAGGGAAAGACAACCATTAATATCAGTTGAACTGGGTATAAAATACTTTTTTTAAATTAAAAACTTTACTCACCTACGGGCACTCCCCCTCCGTACAATGTTGTACTATTGTACAACTAGACCACAAGACTTTATATAGTCTGTTCATGTCTAGCTAAGCTAACTATAATAGTTAAAATATTTTATTTTATGTAATTTTTTGAATGTATGATTAATTGATGATGTTTGTTAGTTGACATTGTTGTTGTAGTCCGGCGGTCTTAACAATGAAACTGGCAATGGTACATCAAAGATCCGGCAAAGTCCTATGTAATTTAAAGCAAATACATTAAATAATGAATATTCTGTTTCCAATTGATTCATACCTTTGAGCATAATGCATTTTGCTGCAACAATATCTCGGTGCCAAGTAACTGTTTGTGGAACAACATCATCATCATCAACATTTAATGGCCAATTTTTGTAGGTAACTTTAACCTTTGACATTAAACGCCCAGTCCGAATTTTTTCGTTCACAGCCTCACGATTGCCATCGATAATTTGTCGCTTAATAATTGCACGTTTTCTTCTCAAAACACGTCTGTTGACCGTTGACACAATGATATCTGGCAGTCCAGCGACTGAATCTGGCAGGCCATCAATCTTTTTCGCTCTACAATCGTAGCACACTTTAAATCGATCATCTTTTGTGTGCCTTGGAAAACGTTCCTGACAATTCGCGCATGTTTGTGATGTTCCCCATTCATCTTGCATTTCAACTTCTGAATGTCCAAGTTTCTTAATGCTCACACGAAACTTACGCGATCCCGGACATCTTTTACGCTTTTTTATTCCAAACGGTCGATCGGGTTTCATCGCCCAAGCACCAAATTGAACCAACGACGGTTTGTTGTTTGTCACACGCACGGCGATTTGATCATTTACTCTGGTCGAGCGAATGTGATGGTCTAAATCCAGTCGTGCATATTCACGCGTCGCATAAGCTGCCATTCCTTTTCGTAACATTTTAATGCGATATTCAATGTATGATTTCCATGTTGAATTACGTGGTGATGGTGGACGATATGGGTAGGTTTTGAGATGTTCCTTCTCTTCGATATCAAACCATCCAGCCAACTTTTTCGCTTCTTTGTCTCGTTTTTTCTGCTGAGTTTCCCAATGAAAACGCTGGTTTGGTATTATAATGTTTTCCTTCAAAATGCAAAATGATACAAAAAACTATGAGTTTCTATTCAAAACCATTTCAAATTAC